CTCTATCTGCTCTTTGTCCAGTGGAAGTACCATGTAGTGGAAGGGGAAAGAGGAGACAAAATACAAAAATCTCTATGAAATTAGAGCACATTAGTTCTGCTGCTGACAGGAATGTGTGCTCGTTATAACAGCAGATTCTTGCCAAATTCTGTTTGAAATGTGTTTTGAGTTTTTAGGTCTGAAATATCTCCGTATCGTAACATCTATATTTGCCTTTACTAAAGCTTGTGACTCAGCCAAAGCCCTTGAAGCTTTTCAGTTTGATATTGGTGTTTTTAAGGTCCTTAATTTACCAGTTAGAAGCCTGTGGTGTTCCCTACAAGAGCTAATGAAATAAGTGTTAAGAAACCATTTAGTATGTTAATTTTTTTTTTTTTTTTTTTTTTTATCTGTTAAAACAGGAGAAAACGTGCCTTTGGACAGGCTACCTGTCTTAGACTCATGTCCGGTTACTGTTCTGGCTGTGGCTGAGATGGTTTAAGAAGCTACTGTCTTCAGCTGCTTGTTTTGTCCCCACAGTTTTGCTGGCATACCTAAATAACGTGTCACTTCTTAACTGTGTTCTGTCAAATGATCTGGGTTAAATGCTACTGGTATTTTTCCTTCTAATGCAGAGAACTTCTGGCAGGAGGAATTAAGAAGTGAAGGCATGTAGTTACGTTAGTTGCTGAGGGGAGGGAGAGATGTGATAAATTTTAACAGAAGATGGTAAACCCCTTACCTGTCTCGACTGCAGCCAGAAACGTATCTGACTGTAGTTGTCAGTTAACAAGTATTCTGCTAATGGTAGTTTGAGAATTTAAACTTGTATGGTAGGACTTCAACTCTTATATTGTAGGTAAGGATTAGGTAAATAATGTGAAGGATTAGGTAAATAGTGTGTCTCCACCCTTCATAAAATAACTGACAAAGCAAAGCATTGGGAGGGGTGGTTAGCATCAAGGGCTGGCGTAGTGGCATATGAACAGTTTTGTTTAAAGGGTTCCCTGTAACCTTCTCAGATGAAATTTGAATCGTTACTATTAATAAGCTATTCTCTCATTAGTCTATTTAGTTCATCGGTAGTAAGTGTTGTTCAGACTTGAGGGTTTATTGAAATCAATTTCACCGAGTTGATTCCCAGATATATTTAAATGTTTCTAAAGATGAACTGAATTTTTGTAAAGATAAATTTACTTATGGAATAAGAGAAGATTTAAAGTGAGGAAGTGTACACAGCTATGTCTCACTTAAAAATAGTTCTACTTTTAATAAAACAAGGTAGTCCTTGGTTCAATTTTGAGATGTCTGAGTTATAGGACTACTATAACCTGTTCCAGCCTTAACTATGCTTTGCATATGAACTTTCTTTTGCATTCTTGAAATACTAAAGAAAAATGTATAAAATAGTTAAAGAGTGGATTTACTTAATTTTGGTAGAAAGCCTAACTAAAATTGTAGCCATTTGAGATTGTGAAGGCAAGGTGAGAAGGGGGAAAGAAAAAAATTTTATTATAACTAAATTTAGTAAACTTAAGTTTATGCTTCATGTAGGTTATTTTTACATGGTTTGAATCTTGGTGAGGCTGAATCATGTTTTCCATTAGAAAATGGAAAAATATTTTTGCATGCGATGTTTAAGTATTTGAAAATGTATATTGTAACTGAACAGTTCATATTACTAGTTTCTAAATATAAAGACTTTGTGATTTTTAGGGCTAATCACTTGAAAATTGAATTCTTTTCAGCCTTTTTTCTTCATAAAAAGTGAAGGCAGAGTTTTAGTTGATTCTTTTTATAGCTTTTGTATTGTCTTAATTTGACTTTGTTGATGTTGACTTCATTGACAGGAAAGCAAAATAACTTGCTTTTAAAATCTCTTACTTCAGAAAGTGCTATTGTGAGGTTTTGTTTTGTGAAACATTGCATAGTCCAGGGAACTATGGACTGTTTTTGTATTAAAACAGAATTGAACCTTTGAGGTATTTAAAACCTACAATAATGTTAATTTATTTGTCAAATGAGCCAGTTGTCTATCAGATCATTGGGTAGGATGTTGAGTATCTTGCAGGTTACCCTCAGTATGTGTTGCTGAACCATTAGGAATTAATTTTGTAGGTGCTGCTATGAAGCTATTTTTTTTTTTTTTCTGCACAGACCCAATATCATGTGTGTATGCTATGTCCAGCTTTAAAACTGGTACCGCTTGATGTGCATACATTGTATGTGCTTCCGTAGGATTCTGTTTTCTATGCATTCAGAGTTCGTACAGTAGTTTGTGTCACCTATTGCATCAGAATGGCTGGATGCTGATAACAGCAGTACTATGGTTGATTGAAAGTGGTTTGAAAGGTATGCAGTTCTGGACATTTAGGGAAACTTCCTCGTAAAGTAATTGCTGGAGGATTCTAGGTGGTCTCTGCCTGTCCTAAGTGTTTCTTTCCAGTAGTCCCCATGACATGTGTTTAATAAGCATGTTATTGTGAAATGAAGGGCTTTTTCATCTGATTCTTCAACTCTTAGAAATAATTTTAGAGGGGGTCTGCATTTAGATAACTTGCCAGTCAGGAAGGAATGATGAATGCCGTAGCTCTGTATTACTTTATAGACTCTGCAGAGTCTGGCACCTAGTGCTTGATTTCTGTAGCATCAAACATAGACTCTCTCTTCCCCAAACATAAGCGTTAATTAAAGTGCCTTGTTTTTTCTTCATTGACTATTTCTTTACTTTTCCTATAGATACATGAGACCATAATGTGGGGAATGAATCTGCAGAACGAAATCAGTTGCCAGAAAGAACAATGTTAAGAAAAGCCTCTCTGTGAAGTGGAGAGTATGGTCATTTGTTACTTCATTATTGTATCCTGGTGGTATTTAAAGGTTGATAGGGCTTTAGTGTTCACAAAGGGAAGAAAAAAACCACTCATTTTTATCTCTTCTGATGGTTTGTGTATAGGGATCATGAAACTGGCATGTCAGTATTGACCATGTTCTGTTGTGATACTCTGAAGTGCAGAAGCCACGTGCTGCAAGATGGTTTTTTGTGTTTTTGCTTACAAAATAAAGATTAAGGCATACCTAAGATAACAGCAGCAGCCTCAGAACACGTAGTTTATATTTTGTAGAAGTTTTTACTTCAGTGTTCTGAGTAATGCTAACACTTCACAACTGAGATTTTTCTCTCAAAATTGTGGTATTTAATGAAACAAAATTTTAGTTGGATCAACCTGGAGGTATACTGGAGCTTCAGGCTGGGTACTGATACAGTCATCCATTAAACATTCTGAGTAAACTTCTACATGGCCATAATGTTAAGGGACATTATAAAAGCCAAACCAAACAAATCAAACATGCCTTTGGCAGGTGTCTGTTTTATTTATGTGTTACTTTACATTGTGATCTGAAGTAGCTGTATATATTGTTGATATTCGATTGTGCTATAGTGTTCTTTAGGGAATTTTGTAGCGCTAATATTAAGGACAGCGTGGCTTTTTTGTCATATTTCTTGTTGGTTTTGTCATATTTCTTGTTGTTTGAGTCAAGGTATGAATGTGTATAATAGCTGCTATTGCTTTTGTCTAATTTTTTTTTTAAGGTCTAGACTGCAAGGAACACTTTTTAATCTATTCTTACTTGTTGAAAAAATAAGTTGTTCCTCGTAGTCAGGTGGAAAGATGTAAATTGCCTCAGGGAAGGGAATCTAACACATTATGAAATGATGAAATGTGAGTAGCAGTGTTGAAAACAGGCTGGGGTGATGGCTGACAACAAACCCTAAGTGACTGTGCAATGTGATCTGGTGGCAGAGTTGGCCACTTGAATTCTCTGCTGGGTATGCAAAGATGCCTTGCAGAGTGGGGACAAAACTTTGAAATACTTTATACAGTTACAGTTGCAAAAAAAGTTGTGCCTCATTAGATACAATTTTCAACTCTAGAGGCTACCATAAGTGTGTCTAAATTCTGTAGCTTGGAGGCAGCTGTTCCCAAAAATGTGTTGGTTTTGTGTTTGGTTGTGGTTTGGTTTTTTGTTTTGTTGTGGTGGTTTTTTTTTTTTTTTTTTTTTTTTAAGCTTGTGTCCATCTTCTCACAAACACTGTTGCATACATGCAGACACATGCTTTTTTCGTAACCCTTAGTCAGGTGTCCGTTAAAACAAAGGTACTTCTGTGTAGCAGCCAGGCAACAAATGTGGTTGGCTTAGGGACGAGCACAGTAATTCAGGGCAAAGCAGAGTGGGGTGGCCAAGTGATCAGACTGTTAATAAAGGGACAGAAAAGAACCCTTCTGAGAATGCACTTTGTTGACGTTTGTTTATTTTAAAGTGTTGTGGTTTTTTTGTTTGTTTGTTGACACTGTACTTGTTACTATGTATTACTAGATTCCTAGGACTTTGGGCTGTTGACTGCTTTTTCTGGTTAGTGAAGAATTAGTTCTCTAGTGTTGGTACATAAGTCAGATCTTTTATTTGCTAATAGTACTTGCAAGCATCTTAAATTTCTGACATTATTTGTTTCAGAAGCTTAGCAGCTCTTGGCAGTGATCCTAGAGCTTCTGAGAGTAGTTTTATAACTTCTGAGAACCTTAAGATAATGTGTATCAGCGCAAAATGAAAGCATATCCTTGTGGGGACTTGCAAGGTTGTTGCCTACGCTTAAGAGAAGTCTGACTCCGAGGTCTGATAATTACAAGAATTTGCTGTCTAACTTGTTTTTTTGAAACGCATAAATATTTCCTATGACGTTTTAATTTCAGACATGAAATATGAAGTTTGTTCACATGTGTTCACACAAAACCAGTTTTGATGATAACCTTTGTCTAAACACCTGTTAAGTATGATTGTGATTATGGAATACTGTGGATTAGAAGTGTGCACGTTTAATACGGAAACAGGGAGTTCCATTGGGCTTTGAGGTTCAGACTTCTGGTCAGTTCACAGTTTTCAATTTGTCTTGATTTTTCTTGATACTGTATATAACAAAGATGAACACCCATAAAATGATACCTTTCTCTGATTCTCAGACGTGAATGAATTGAAGGAGTGCCTTCATGTACTAGTGAAGGAACAGCAAACTCTGGCCACACAAACTGCTACAACAGCTCTTTCAGCTATGAGACTAAAGCAGAGGCTAGTTATCCTGGAACGATATTTCATTGCATTGAACAGAACAGTTCTTCAGGAGAATGTCAAAGTTAAGTGGAAAAGCAGTAGTATTCCTCTGCCTGCCCTGGATAAGAAAAGGTAACAACACATGCATGAACAGGTTAATACATTAGGAAGGTCATAGAAAGGTTATCAACCTATGTGTGAGAGCTTAATGTGATTTCTTCCTCCTTGTGAAACACAAGAAATAAGAAGAGTTTCTTTACTGCTAAAGATGGTTTTACGTGGTGTTATTTGCCACGTGGTTTTCCTCCTTGGCTGATGCTTGCTTATAGTGTCTCTGTTCATACTGGTGTTTTTTAATTGTAATACATTGCTGTAGATATTATTCTTCGAGCTATAACTATACTTTTATTGACATATTACTTTTGTTCTACTCAGCTAGAAAGAATGGAGAAGCCTATTTCAGAAATGATGCTGATGGAGGTTACATAGTTCTAACAACATTAATATATTTTTTGTCAATATTTGCTCAGGGCACATAACAAATTTAAAAATACAAATACATAAAATTTGAACATAGTTTCCCTTAGCTTGGGTGAGAAATGATGGAATCGTACCTTTTATACGAAACTGTTCCCAGAGAACTAACTGAATAAGAAATCGTCTGAGTACTTTACATGTCTAGATAGCTTATTGACCTAAAAATAGAAAAACCTATCAGATGAGGCATTGAAGAAGCTATTCAGTAGCTGAACAAGGTTGCTGTCTGACAGAACAAGCGATTCAACCAGGGAAATTTTTATGTTAGATTGTCTCTAGCTTCAAAAACGAAAGGAGACAGTAAGTAGATATTATGACTAGTTATTACAGGATTGGAGTTCTGACAATGATATCTTTATCTCAGAATAGTCTGTTCTCTGAATTTTTTTTCCAGTTCTGATTAAAAAGAGCGCTGATATATTTAAGTTACCAGACTGCTAGAAGTGCCAGTTTAAACTTTTTCTCTCTTGAAAAAGTCCTAAGCAGTTGACTTTCTTTTGATGTGAGATTAAAAAGAAAACAGAATTGTTGGTGTCTTTCTGAGAGAAGGCAGAAGGGAATCTCCTGTCGTTAAATACAAAGGAAAGCTTACTTAAAATAATGTGATCATTTGCATAAAAAGAAAAGTTAACAGAAGTATGTGTGAGTCCAGTGGGTATTAACAAAAGTTCAACCTATCTCTTTTCCTTACACACACCAATAACAGAAGCTGCAAAGGGAAAGTCGTAACATTGACACTTGAATGGAAAGATAAGAAATGACAAAATTGATGAAATTAATTATCAGTAATTGAAGAGTCATTAAAAAAATAGCCTATAAGCATAGTTTATGCAGTCCAAATTAACTAGAAGTATAAAATTCCTGAGTAAATAATGAGTACATGAAGTATCTTACGTCTGTGTATTTTGAATACACCATCATAACTTCACTCTGAGTAACTGTAGGCACCTTACTGATGGCAGTCAATTATGCCAGTCTAGTTTATTTTTTTTCTCTGTGAAGCTTTTTGATGTTGAGGGTTTAATTGGTTGTTCTTTGAAGCAGCTGAAATTG